TATCAAATAAATATGAATGTGTATAAGTATATATAGTATATATAATGTTTATAGTATATAATATATAAGTATATTACTATAAGATGAGTAATACACTTATACTTAATACTTTAATATATATATATATATATATATATATATATATATATATATATATATATATATATATATATATATATATATATATATATATATATATATATATATATATATAAGTATATATTAACTATATGTAATATGTAAATATAAGTAAATAACAATAGTATGGATAATAACTAAATGTCAAGTGAATATGAATGTGTATAGTATATATACTTATATAGTATATATAATGTGTAAAGAATTATAATATGAATGTGTATAAGTATATATTTTTAAATAGATAATTAATATATAAGTAGATATAATAATTATATAAATTATATATATGTAGAAAGAATTTGGAGAAGATGAAGAATGAAGATGATTGAATATGAGAGATTTAGAGTAGAGAATTAGAGAGTAGGAAGAGTTGTAGAAGAAGAGATGTAAAAAATGTAGAGAAAATAGGAGTTTAAATAGATTTTTTTTATACCCCACCCCCACCCCCCCACCCGACCCCCCCACCCCACCCCCCTAACCCCCAGACCCCCCCTCCTATGCTCCCAACGGCTATAGAGCCGTTTGGGAGCCTTCCCAACGGCTAGGAGAGCCTCTTCCAATTTTAAATTTTTTTTTTTTTTAAAATCTGGCCGTTGGAGGCCCGAACCGGGCCCAGCCCGGCCGGGCCGGTTCACTAAAATGGAGGCCCGAGCCCGGACCGCTATACCACCGGGCCGGGTGGCCCGAACCGGTCAAGAACCGGTTGACCGGGCCGGTCCGGGCCCGCACAGTAGCGGGCCGGTCCGGTTCCGGGCCGGTTGGCCCGGCCCGAGTCCACCCCTACTTGGGCTTAGGTTAGGGAGAGTAGTGTATATTTATATATTACATAACACTGCCCCTTAAATATACACTACCAAAGAAGTACATAAATCTTTTAAATACGTTTAAGGAATGCTTCCTTATTAAAAACTTTACCGAGGAGTATATTTACCCCCCTCTCCCCCACCCCAATGAATATCACTCAAGATCCTTGGGTCGACGTAATCCAATCAGGTGCACTAACTTCTTGAAAGTCCGCAACATTGTCATTTGAATGATTTTGTTGAACAATAATCTCGCCCTCTTTTTTGATGTCATGTGTACCAAAACTTTGGTGAAATATGTTTTGTCCTATCTCCCTTGATGAATCCTTCCTTGGATTGGTGAATACAAGCTGCATTATCTTCAAATAAGAATGTCGGAGGCTCCTTTTCAAACCATAATCCACATGACCGTCTAATATACTGAATTACACTTTTTAAGTATACACATTCTCAACTGGCTTCATTAATGGCTAATAGCTCTGCACGATTAGATGATGTTGCCGCAATTGTTTGTTTTATGGAACACCACGTGATGGACAGTGTACCCGGGGGTAGCTTATCCGAGGGGTTATTGCGGAGAATAACTAGAGAGAAGTCAGAGCAAAACAAGTAAGAGAGAGAGAGAGAGTCAGATATATTAATGAATTCTGATCTGGGCCCCTTTACAAGAGGAATAAGGGCTGCTATTTATAGCAGCCATAAATGCGATGAGAGTACACGTGTCAATAATCTGACGGTTGAGGGGTCACCTCAATCGGGGTGGCACCGGCATTCGCATGTGCACCACATTAAATGCGGTGGTTGGATGTGACGCCGCATTGAATGTGGTAGTTGCTTGTCTCCAAAGGGAATCTTCGATGATTGCGCTGTAGCCGAAGTCTCCCCTGTGGTCGAGGGCTCTATGTAGCCGAAGGCTACCCTTATGCCGAGGGCGTGTATGAGCCGAAGGCTCCCGATTTTCGCCGTCTTCTCCCAGTAGCTTTGTATGCCTAAAATCAGCTGTTTCCTGGAGTTTGGAGCCCTCGGCCATGGTGCCGAAGGCATCCCCAGGCGCACCAAGGGTTCCTTTGAGCTTGGGCCACGGTGCTTTGGGCCTCATGCGCTTCTTGGGCATGTTGGGCCTGTGTTGGAGTAGTAGGAGTCTGTGGGCCGGGGTTCCCCGGGCCATATACTCCATCACCACGAATTTGTCCAACAATCTAATCCTAGATTGATCTAAAATAGGGGTGGACTAGGCCCGGGTCGAGCTGGGGCGGGCTCCGGGTCCAAATTATTCAGGCCCGGTCCCGGCCCGGGTTTGTACCGGTACCGGGCTGGGTCGGGAAATAATTTTTTTTGGGTCTTTTCGAATTAATTGTAATGGGAAAAAAATTAAAATAATAATTGGGCCTATACCGGGCCCGGACCGACCGGGTCGGTCCACCATTTTCGGATCCCGGAGCCCACCCTTTCATACGACCGGTTCGAGCCTCAGTCCCAGTCTTGGTTCACCGGGCCGGGCCACAACAGTGTCGGGTCGGGTCCCTGATCGGGCCAACCCGACCCAATCCACCCCTAATCTAAATTCTTAAATTATAATCCAATAAAGCATTTCATCATGCACAATTTTATTTATAATTAAGTGTATAAACAGTTATACAATTATCTCGGTTAATTGTCTTTGGTCTAACCATATCAATTTCTACATTTTCCTTCATAGTTTCCCCTTTCTCCTCCGAAAAAATGGCCCGGTTATTAGTAATTGAATTTTCATTTCCAAATATATGAGTCTTCTCTTATATTCCAAAAAAGTGACCCCTTACCTTTCTCTATTCGATGGAATTGACCCAAGGCATCGACGAGGCTATTCTGCATCTCTCGGTCCTGCATCTTCACAACACCACCACCACCGCGTCGCGCAACACCGCCGCCGCATCGCGCACCACCACCACACCACCGGCGACTCGGCGAGTTGCGCACCAACACCGCATCCCCACCTTCTTTGCGTGGGAGCGGCGGCCATCGTGATGCTGCTGCTTCCATATCTCTTCTTACCCATTTCTCCTACCACGCCTAACTTGTGTCGCCCTGATTCGGATCTGAAGAGATTTGAAGCTCCAACGTCTTCATTTTCGATCCAGAACTCGAGTTGGGTTTGGAATGCGGAAATGGTGGACGGAGGCCGTTAGGGTTGGTCTGGGGTAGAGAGGGCGTTGCTTTAGGCGACGACTTGCTACAGTTGGGTAGCGGCGCGGGGGCTGAGGAGTCAAGTTGGGGTGCGGAATGGTCATGGCGGAGGTGGTTCAGTGGTAGGCAGGGCGGGGGCAGAGTCTTAGGACTGGGGCGGGGTGTGGTGGAGCTGGGGCAGGGTGTGGTGCAGGAATGGGGTGTGGTGGGGCTGGGTGTGGTGGAGCTGGGGCAGGGTGTGGTGCAGGAATGGGGTGTGGTGGGGGTGGGGTGCGGTGGCCGCTTGGCCGGCCGGGTGGTTGGTTTGAGATGGTTCAATGGCAGGGCGAACAACGGCAGTGACTTGCCGGGGGGAGGGGGGCAGTGATTGGCCAGGGGCGGCAGTGACTGCCCGGCGGCGGCAGTTACAGGCGGTGAGCGGACAGTCTCTTTGACCGTTGAGCGGTGGTCACTATGGCCAGTAGGTGGGAGTAACTGTGGCCGGTGAGCGGTGATCACTATGGCCGGTAGGCGGGAGTCACTGTGGCCGATGAGCGATGGTCACTATGGTCGGTAGGCGGGAGTCATTTTGGCCGGAGTCACTTTGGACGAAGTCACTGTGACCGGAGTCACTAAGATAGTGATCGGCGACGATGGCGGTGGTGGTGGTGCTGGGGTCGGTGGCCATGGAGGTGCTGGTGGCTGCAAAATATGAACTACTAATCATCATTTATATAAAATGAATACTAAAATAATAAATGTATGATTCAATATTTAAATACAAGGAATAAATGACTTTTAGTCACATTTTTGAGAAAATTTAAAAGATGTCACATTTTTGTCTTTTCACTCATTTTTGTAATATTGGAATAAAAAGGCCTTCTCCTCTTCCCCTACGCTATTACGGAATATTTTAGAGATATTCAGGCATGTGTTTCCATTAACATAATTTAATCAAATCAATCCCTTTTTTAAAATAGATCTCATATTCATGAATCTATAAATAAAAATATTCTCACATGAAATATTATTTCTTAGTACCTAATCAGACAGAGAAGTATTAAAACGTGTAAAACATATAATCATACGGTTTACTCCAATTAGCATCATAAGTAGTAGCACAACATGTAATGGTTTCAAATCTCCCTTAGGTCGGACTCTCATTTCATTATTTTTAAGAATGAAATCCTTCTGAAATAACAAATTACCTTCTTATCTCCCTTCTTATCAATTGATTGCCAACCACATTTGGGATTTTGGGGCAACAAATCCTTGTTTTTAACTGGTATATGAAATAATCAAATTTCACTTCTTTTGCCGATCCAAATCTAACTGCCAAGTAGGGCTGGACTCGGGCCGGGCGGCCCGACCCGGAACCGGTCCGGCCCGGTTACTGTTTGGCCTGGCCCAGTGGGTCCAGCGGTTCGGTTTGGCCCAGCCCGGGTGATGGGCGGTCTAGGCTCGGGCCCTGCTTTAGGCGAACCGGCCCGGCCGGTTCGGGCCCGGTCCGGGCCGGATTTTAATTTTTTTTTTAAAATTTTTTTAAGTTTTGGATTGGATTAGGTATTTTGGGCCATTTGAGGTGGTTTGGGGTGGTTTGGGGTTGAGGGGGAGGGGTAGGGGGTTAAATAGGAGAACAAAAAAAAATGGACCAGTTTGGCCCGGCCCGGCCCGGTTTGGCCCGGAACCGGAACCGGCCACCGGCGGTTCGGGCTCGGGCCCCAGTTTTCTGGCCCGAGGCCCGGCCGGTCTCAGGCCCGAACCAGGCCCGAACCGGCCCGAGTCCAGCCATACTGCCAAGCCAAGTGTTGGTATTGTTCCAAGCCCCCTCACTCCACTTTTTCCGTTTCATCATTACTTATAGAAGATTCATTACATTTGATAATTGAGCGACTGAAGTGAAAAAAAAAATTGGTATGGGAAATTGGGATCCAACAAGTCAAAAACAAATGGAATTGTTCATCAACAACACATCTCAAGTTCATAATTCATAATAGTGTTTATGTGATAAACTAAGGATCTGAATCGTTGGTTAGAGATTCAGAGTGGAGCTAAAGGCCAAAACGGACCAACTCGCTAGAAAATGCAAAATGTTCACATGCAACTAACTGGAACATACACTCCTTTAGTCCTTTACATTCCCTTCACCGGCACATCTGTTTTTAGATGTACTACGCTCACCCACTGATGGATCAACTCGAGAGTAAAGATCACAAAATGTTTGGTACACATGGGGCTTCAACAAACTCAACGAGCTCAGACAACAATAAATTTCAAAAATATTTAAACTCTAACAAGCTTAAAAGTCAAAATTGCGGCATCATTGGCTCAGGCAGGCATCAATAGGGGGGCTAGCTTACCACTGTTGTCATATGATTGAACTACCAAGAAGTGAAAATTTTGAATCTATAGTATCTTCCATTTGCGCTCCACAGCATTGGCTATCATAGATATACAGTATGCAGCACTAAGCGGATAATCTGAAACTGCAGCGATATATAAATATATATCACAATAATTGTTATCAGAATCATTGTTTTTGAAAAACAACATTGCAAACAATGCCACAAATTCTTTTATTTGAAACCAATTCCTGGAGAGATCATATTTCCTTATACAAAAATACTCTTGGTACACACTTTTACACATTGTCTGTGTAGGCTTTTTGTCAAAATACAATGTCTGTACAGACAAAAAAAGCCTACACAGAGAATGTGTAAAAGTGTGTACACCAAAAAGTGTGTACCCCAAGTCCAACTCTTCCTTATATGTGTTATCCTGCTGCAATCCTTTTTATGTTGATAGAAGTTGAAAGTATGTAGAGTTGGGAACTCGAGACTGAGACAATTCTACATCTTTGACGAAAAAACTAAATTTGAATTATCAAATAGACTTTAGAACTACTTCAGATGATTTCTCTAGCAATGCGAAGAAATCATAAGCCGTTCACTGTAATACAAATTTTTAGTGGTGTTAGTCTGTTATGTTTGGTTGGCTTTGGTTTTGAAAATGCAAAAGAAAATGGCTAAAATTGGTTTTGGTTTGTTTTTCATCAGTGGTTTTAACATCTTCTGGTTGGTTTGGCTGGTTATTAATGCCTAAACCTGCAACCATACATCATGCGTGCTTAGATTGGTTTTGGACTTCGGGTCGATTAGATGAGTACAGCCCGGTCTTTATTTGTTTTGGCTCTACCTATTTCAATTTACATGTCCTGTTTCATCAAGGATAGTTCGCTGATATGGATGAACTTACTCAGTTTTGTGAATATAAATGTTACACAATAGACAGTATGCAGTGCAGCCTCTAACTCTGCTTATTTTGCTCATAGTCACAACTCACAATTTATCACAACTATGTTCCAGAACTGTGCAATTAAGCTACCAAGCAGGGTCTTAAATAGTTTTTTTTTGAACGAAGCAGGGCATTAAATAGTTAAAATGTTAAAGTGATTTAGAAAGGATTTAGAACAACTCTAAAAACACCAGCCCTTTGAAAGAACATAAATAAAAGGTTACATTAACTTGGTTTATAAAAAACAAGTAAGCAAGACGACATAGTCCATAATAATAAAGTTAGGAAAAGAAAAGGGCAGCAGAAAACACATTACCTGAAACATAATCTTCAACGTAATCGTTACCAATTTTGCCATGGGACATTGCACCAAGCTGCACATTGGCACAATGCAGTTTAAAAACAAGTCACACTAATACAACACAGCATGATGAATTTTTTCTCATACCACAAAGACAAGGTTTGTATCACTGCCAACATTGTCAACATAGTTCTGAATGTCAACCAACTTCTCAGAACTGTGTGAAAAGCCTGTCAAATTTTGAAGCAAAATAGCTAAAATTAACTGAACTATCAATTGGGTAAGAGAGCAAGCTAAGGATCCGTTAAGTAGGGTTATTTGGTTGAAATGAGTGAATCACTCGAATTTCATAAAAGAAAAGCTGCTGGTACTTGGTAGCATCCATTTCATCTAATAAAGTTACTACGTAGTTATTAAGCTAATCAGGAGAATAGGCAGATCGTTGCTGCCAAATGTGAAGCCTGAAAGAGGAAGAAAGTGAGTACCAATTTTACGAGAATCTATGGGTAGATACTGTGTAACAGGATTCTTTATTACACGGAGTAGTTTTTCTCTCTTCCCAACAGCCGTTATATTAAGCTTTTGAAGCAACTGCACTGAAATCATTCAAACATTTACAGAAATTGGAACAGAGCGAATAACCTTTTAGATTGGAAATGAAAAGCTTATGAAACTAATAAAACAAAATATTTGTGGAAACCAACAAAAATGGGAACTTACACATGATACCAGAAAATCGCTTAAAAGTCCTAGGGATACGAACATGAGGTTTGACTTCAAAAAGGACACCTTTTTCTGTCTTCACATACAAAGCTTTCAATCTCCCAGCCTTATTTAACCGGCTGTCTAAAATCATAAGCATTGCCTAATAACATCAAGCCAGATTATCAGCAGCGAGCTTAAATCATTATTTCCAGCAGCACTCAAGGACACAGATTGAAATAACCAACCTAAGCTCATCCTTTTTATATGGTAGAAGATTCATACAGACAAACTATTGTGTAGGAAATATTTTTCTATTATGTTTCTTGCAAAATGAAGCAATTGGATCGCAAGATGCCAACTAACTAACAAAAAAATATCATTTCTTTAAAAAAGGTCAAGACTTTATGTCCTAAAACTGCGCGTGACAGCCATAACTACATGAAAAGAAACTGAATTAAACAAATATATGACCTTCAGCTCTTTCCATTTTCCGAAAACATTAACCGAGGCCAGCGAAAACTCTAACCTAGAACACATCCATCTCAAAAAGTAAATATTTAAGCATATGTGCTAATTGCTAAATATGAATCCATATGTAAGCATCACTATTGACTGGAGTAACAAGCAAACCAATTGACTCAACTTTTACTTTCATTACCAGGAAACTATCCCACAGTCCCTTGTTCCTCTTCGCATAGGGAAATGATTTATTTGAAGGTTTTCAATCTTATATCACAAGAGAAAGTGGGGAATTTGCACCGAATGAGCCCATATCTTACATAAAGCTAAGGCCAAACGGAAACATTCAGGCATAGTTCAATTGCAAAATTTGCTAACCTGATGAGCAATGTCTGGTCGATACTCAGCTGGGTTTAGGTTATTTCTCTTTAGAAAGCCAGCATGCTCATCCGAGTTGAGAAGTTGGTATGTCTGTATCCCATTGTCAACCGCCATATCAGAGAACTTAATAAAAGAAATACGGTTCAAGAAGTTCAGAGCATGGGAATACCTTTCCGATTTTGGCAATCTCCAATGAAGCCCTCTCTAGGATAAAAATGACAGAAGGTTTGTTGCTCTGTTCAGTTGAAACAACTGGTATACCAGGTAGTAAATTAACCACATTTTCTGCTTCCTCTTTGTCCTCCGCAGTAACCTCAGTTTTGGCCTTTTTCATGGCTTCCGTTGCTTCATCTTCCAAACACGGGTCAACTATTTCTTCCTTGTCATATTTCTCCTCTTTCTTTTTCCTCTTCTGCCCGTTGATCCTATAAGCATGAACCATTGTTTCTGCTAAAAAATATACTCCGTACAAACTTACGACAGGAACCGGAGGTGACGATCGATTCCAAGGGTTTTTCTCTATGCTACAAACCTCCTACAGAAGTCGACGATGAATTCATCCCGCCGATTCTTGTAGTCGCTTATGGGCTACTGGATCAGATTACTTTTCCTCCCGTATAACGGGCCTCACCACACAATATGTTTTCTTTTGATTGAAATTTGTTAATCTGGTATGATCTGGTCTGGTCTGGTCTGGTCTGGTCTGGTTTGGTAAACATCTGGTCTCTGTGTATTTTATAATTATGGAATTCTGGTCTAGTCTGATCTGGTTTGATGTGGTCTAGTCTGGTCTGGTTTGATCTAGTCTGGTCTGGTTTAGTCAGGTCTAGTCATGAACTGAGAAGGGTTGGTTTTCGGTTCGGTTTTATTCGATTTTGTTTTGGTTCGGTTTAGAACAGGTTGAGAGAATTAATATCAAATAAAAATTATACTATTTTTTTGGTTTGATTTGGTTCAATTTAGTTCGTTTTTTCTCAATTTGGATTTGTTATTTTCTAATAATATATAAAGGTTTTAATGAATTTATTTAGTTCGATTCGGTTTTGTTCGGTTTTTATCTGTTTTGGTTTGGTTTGGTTTAATACGGTTTGGAAGAAATACTACCAAACTCAAATCAAATTGCATATGATCCGGTTTAGTTCAGTTTGCTTCGGTTAAACCAAACCATTATGTTCACCCCCAGTATGAAATATTCCCTTCTTTTTCTTTTTGTTTTGTTATTACTTTATACTCCCCGTGTAACCGGCCTTATTTTCTTGAAAAGGAAAAAAAAATACTCTCTTCGCCTCATTCAAAGTTTCTCTCTTTCTTTTTTTTGGACATCCTTTTCAAAGCCTTTCATTTTCTATTTTAGAAAACAATTAACACTCTTAAATAACAATTTAATAATCAAATCTTAAAAATAAGACAATTATAACATCATAGTTTTCATTGATAATAAGTTATATTATATATCCATCAAACCTATTTTAAGTATGACAGTACATAATATGTTATTTTTAAAAAATGGTATGTTTACCTTAAACGACATCTTTTAACATTTTGAAACTGACATGTTTTTATCTGTGCAAATGTCACGTTTATACGAAAATGTCATGATTAATTTAGCATGATATTTATTTTTTTCAAATTGATAATTTCACCAGAGAAGGCGAGAAGGCGGCAGCACTCGAGGGAGGGGTGGCAGTGTCACATGACGCGGCGCCCTTGCCGGAAGGTGGAGATGATAATGGTGTCATAGGAGGGCGGTAGTGGTGATAACGCTCCATGGTGACGGCTGTCTTTTTGAAAGACGGCAGTTAGAGACGGTGGTCTCACTGGAGGGCAGTCGCCACCGCAGGCGGTGGTGGTTTTGTTGGATGTTGATGCCGCCATTAGAGGCAACACAACAGTAGCCATAGGAAACACGTTGCTATTGCTAGATCGAAGGGTTGTTTTATATTTTTAATTTATTTTCATTAAGGGTAATTTGTTTAAGTCATTGTATTTTAGTCCTTGAAAACATTGAAGTCTTACTCTTACACTTTTGTAATGTTTTAGTCTTATTTAGGTCTTCTCTCAAAAAAGGATATATGCTAGTCAACCGTTATGAGGGTTTATAGCGCTGGGATGAATTTGGGAGATCAAGAATCGAGATGACCTGTTCCCATCGATTAGATATCAAATAAGGAAAAAACTATTGATGCACATAAGTTGTACACATTTTGTGTACACCCCTTAATTAATTGTGTATACATGCAGTTCGTTTAGGACTTGTCTATGTACAAAATAACCAGAAGAGTGAACATAAAGTGTGCACAACTTATGTGTACACAGTACACCAAGAATGATTCATCAAATAATGCATCTTTGGTCTTAACCCCCACCCCCACATCCATAATGATTCATCAAATAATGAATCTTTGGTCTTACCCCCCCCCCCCCCCCCCGCACATCCATCATTCCATACTGGGCACTGTGTTGGAGGGTGACGATCAACTTCTTCATCGGGCTCATCGGGCTGGAGGGTGACGATCAGCTTCTTCTTTACAAGTCTTGTGGATTAGTTTGCGTGCTGGTGGGGCTCACACCATGCCCAAATGCTTGAAATCAATTGGAGCTTATTCATGAAATAGGCTCAAATTGAACGTCTTTACTGAGCAGATAACCTTTCATGAAATAGGCTCAAATTGAACGTCTTTACTGTGTAAGGTTGTATACGAATCGAATCGAGTCGAATAGTAAGATTTTGTATTTGTATTTGTTTAATTTTTTCGAATACGAATTCGAATTCAAATATGAAACGAATATTAATTTCGATTTGTATTTGTATTTGTTTAACAATACGAATAGTTAACGAATCTTATACGAATATCGAATAGATTTGAGCATAGGTCAAATATTAGTGAAATATCACTTAAAATTAAATTTTCTTATATTTTTTTATGTTGTAAATGTATGCTATGATTTAATATGTGTTTTTAGAATTTAAATTCAATGGATCAATGCATTTTTAGATTGTGCACGATATACTAAAGTGAATCAATTTTATGATTAATAAATATAAATATATCTCAAACTCTTTGAAAAACACTAACACACACATATTAGAAATTACACTTACAATGTGTGAAATAAGTTGATAATTGTATATATCAAAGTCAGACGATTCTAATTTTATTCTGCGAATCGAATACATAATTATTTGTATTGTATTTGAAAGACATTTGAACCAAAAATCCGATTTGTATTCGTATTTATACTCTGATTTATTACAAATGAACTTAGAATCTGTATGCGTAAATGTATATATGAATTACACTTTAGGGTATTGCTATCTTTTAAAAGTTATTAGAGTGTTATTACTATTATTTTTTTTAATATTATCACTATTATTAATCGAATATATTTGATTAATATTCGAATCGAATACACTGATATTCTTATTTGTATTTGATAACAAATCGAATCTTGTATTTGTATTTGAATTTTCCGAATTTGAATCCTCTTATACGAATTCGAATTGCGAATCGAGCACAAATTATTTGATTCGTTTACAACCCTATTTACTGAGCAGATAACCTTTCATGAAATAGGCTCAAATTGAATGTCTCTACTAAGTGTGAAATAATGGGAAAAAGTATTCCAACAGGAGTCCTGACATGTGTATTTAGGAGTCCTAAATATATTCTATTACTGAGCAAACCTTTCATGAAATAGGCTCAAACCATATATTCTTGGAGATGTGTACAAGAACCTAACAGTTTTGATGTGTGACAAATATGTTTCTCATTTTGACATGTAACGGTGTAAGATAATGAAATATATCTACAAGATGGCATGGATGGAGACTGGGTTCACATAGTGCGGCAATCAATTAGGCAGTATATAAATGTATGTGTACTACAAGTATTTGTTTTAAAAATCTCAACGCCACATGGCCCACATCGTCCACATATCACAATAGAAAAGAAATTAATATTTAAAATAAGGGAAAGTTCCCGAAATGGGAGTAAAAAAGTTTGAAAATTCCAAAATAGGACTGTCATGTTTTTATTCCCAAAATAGGACTAATTACTGCCAAATTTGGAAAATACTGCCATGTTTGAAGTCCGGTACTGCCAAAACATGACAGTAATTAGTCCTATTTTGGGAATAAAAACATGGAAGTCCTATTTTGGAATTTCCAAACTTTTTTAGTCCCATTTTGGGTAATATCTCTTAAAATAAAACATAAAGTACTTACCCCAATTAAACTTTTGTTTTGACTGAAACGGGCGATCCTATAAAGAACGGAGAATTTACCCAAAGTAGGACTAAAAAGGTTTGAAAATTCCAAAATAGGACTGACATGTTTTTATTTCCAAAATAGGACTAATTACTGTCATGTTTTGGCAGTACCAGACTTCAAACATGACAGTATTTTCCAAACTTGACAGTAATTACTCCTATTTTGGGAATAAAAAACATGGCAGTCCTATTTTGGAATTTTCAAACTGTTTTAGTCCTATTTCGGGAACTTTCCCAAAAAAACGAATATAAGTTATATAACTGTTATTATTTAATAAAAACATGGAGAAAAGATGAGATGTTATATTTAAAATACATATTCTCTCTAATTGGTCTTAAATACTTAACAAAGAGTGTAAATACATATCTTGCCAGAATAATTGATATCATAGTTTTGTGCTAATTATATACTTGTCCTTTATTATTTTTGAATAAATTAACTTTTGTTTATACATATCTAAGTACTTTGAAAATTGGCACAAACTTAAGACGTGGATTGGAAATAATAAGTATGAGATGTTTGAAAGTGATTATGCTTATATTTTTTTAAAAGCAGATGATTAGAATCAGTTTCTCAAAATCTATTCTCCATCACTTCTAAAAACTATTTCCAGGAGCAAGTTGAAACACCCAAAAGTACTTCTGTATTTCCACTCTAAGAGCATCACCAATAATATATTGTTGACATTCATTAAAACGGCCAAATCACCAACTTAGACATTACTTGTGATATTTTCATCTCCAACGCAATATCTTTGGACTACTGTAGTGCTGACATGTAAAAAAAAAAAATTCTAGATGACATTGTTAACATGTCTGTCATAGTGTCATGTGATAACAGCCTCCTTGACATTATTGATTCAGCATACGGAGTGGAGGAATACACCAAAAAGACTAGAAAATCTCCCTCCCATATAAAACCGTTTCTTTCTATATCATTTTCTTTTTACTTCTATGCTTTTTCTTTAAAAAATGGCTTACACGTAAACCTGTATATGGGCGGTTAACATATTGCATGGACCAGATTTTTGGTTTTCACTATCTATCCACATGATAGATAGTGAAATAAAATAAACCATTGTTTTTCTTTTATTATTTCCCCAAATCAATATAATTTTTGATGATTGTAACACATTTTAAGCATTTAAAATCAACCATGATTAATTTACGTACGCTATGATACAAAAAATGTATATTTACACCTGAAACATGTTAGACACGTATGTGCACCTCAAGATAGAAATTAAGGGGCGCATTTACATATTTCGATTAATGTGTTCTAAAACGGTATGATCTTTTTTGATGTTTTTACTTGGAATGAAATTTTATAACTATCAAAGTCTGGTCTG